ATATATATATATATTTTTGGCTATAAAATGAGAAAAAAAAAAAAAGAAAGGAAAACACAGGTTAACAAACACTACCTTATTATAAAGGCCATTTTAGACAAAAAAAAATAGAAAAAGAAGAGACTATCCTAGTGCAACGGTATTACCAAACACCACCCTCCACTGTCTTCACCTCCCAGAGCTGATAATCAGACTGCAAATACTCCCTCAAACACTAACCCCCCAATCCTCTATCTCCCCCTGCCCAAAACCATTCAAAAACCCTAACCCTAACCCTACCTTTAATCCCTCTCAAAAACCCAATCCCCACAAAACCCTCAAAAATGGCCTCACCGCCACCACCTCACCACCGCAACCCATCACCGATTCCGGCCTTAGATTCCGTGAAAAAATCCTCTACCTCCGAACTCTGAAAGTCAATCCCATGAAAGCCCTCGCCAAGAACCCTAATTTCCGATCCACTTCACTTTCCTCTCTCAAATCCGTTGAAAACTGCCTTTCATCGATGAGCATTGAACGTTCTGCTCTCGGCCGAATTTTCGACATGTACCCGCAACTTCTCAATTCCGATCCCTACTCTGACCTCTACCCAATTTTTGATTTTCTGCTTAACGATGTTCATATCCCATTCCCCGATATCCGAAAATCCATAATTCGATGTCCAAGGCTCTTAATTTGCAGTGCAGAAAGTCAACTAAGACCCACATTGTGTTTTTTTGAGGAAATTAGGGTTTGTTGGTTCGAATGCGATCAATTGTCAAACAACAGTATTATTGGTTTCTAGTGTGGAGGGTACTTTGATGCCCAAATTGGATTATTTGATGAGTTTGGGGTTGGAATATGAGGAAGTGGTGAATATGGTGTTGAGGTCACCAGGGTTGTTAACGTTTAGTATAGAGAATAATTACAGGCCAAAGGTGGAGTATTTTTTGAATGAGATGAATGGGGATGTAAACGAGTTGAAGAGGTTTCCACAGTACTTTTGTTGCAGTTTGGAGGGTAAGATTAAGCCACAGCATCGCCTTTAGATCAAGAGTGGGTTTTCGCTTCCATTGAAGGAGATGTTGAGGTTTAGTGATGGAGAGTTTAATGCAAGGCTTGTAGAGATGCGGCTGCGGTTAGTTGTTGAGGCACAGTTGTAGTAAGTTGATCATTCTTCACTTTATTGCTTATTGGAATCATTAATAAAAGTGCAATTTTTTTGTCAGATTTTTGGTTTCTATCATTTATGTGGGCTATGGTAAATGTACTTTTTCCTGCTATATGATATGAAGAAATTTGTAGGATACAATGGCCTGACTGTGGCTTGGATATACTTTCAATTTTAGTTTACCATCTCTGAGAAGACTGAAAGGCTCAAATATTTTGAATTGTCATATGCATACTGAATAGTAAATTTTTTTTTTACAATCATGTACATGGAAATCAGTATATACTAGGCTGGGAGGACGAAATAGAAATACACGTCATGGAAGTTTAGATTCATGGAATTCATTGCTTCTTTTAGGAGTTCATTTTCTCTCTAATTCCCTCTAACTATCCATTTTATTATTGAAGACAGATGGTAGCATAAGAGATAGGGCCGGATAGAGTACTGTGGATTGGTACTCGAGTCATCAGTAAAATTAACTAAACTGCTTTGGCGTGCATTCTGTACTCTGATAAGCCACTATTGTGTGCATTTGCATTGGATGCATTCAGAATTATGCTTAAAAAAAGGAACTGGATAACAGGGGCATGTATCTGTTATCATCCACTTCAAATTCCAGAGACTTGACAACTTCACTAGAGTCAACTTTTCTGACATTGGAGGACTCACTCCTCCGATCCTTCCAAAATCCATCAAGCTTAAAGTGCCGGCAAGCTCGATTCGCAGTCTCAATGGTCTAACCCCACTGGTCCACCCTCACCATTATCCCACTATCTAATCACTGAATCAGGTTTCCAATACTGCGGCATAGTCCACTACCTCCAAATCCTAAAAGTTAGTATTGGTTTCTTGGGGAGAGAAACCAATTTTTTTTAACACCTCAGTGCGGCCTCCCAAATCCACAATAAGCTCCTCTTGTAAATGGGCAACAAATGCTACACACGCAGCCTCGTCTTCAGCATGTGAGAGTCCAACACAAATTATTGCCCTAAAATCATTTCTTATTAAATGATGTGAATATTCTTTTTCCTGGTATTGATAATTATTATTGGTGCCCTAAACTAATGATAATGGAAAATTGTGGCTGTTATTGCAACGACCATTTTTTCCCAAATTGGTCCAGACTGGGCCAACATCCTGGTTTACTGGGCTGGGGCCAGCCTGGTAGTTTGAGATGGGTAATAGAAGCTGTTATTGGTCTGCTTTACCCATGGGATTGACCCATGGCCTACCCAAAAAGTGGCCCTGGCCAAAATCTGCCCCTTTGATCTTTGTTGGGAAGGGAATCACCATTTTTCGTTCAACATTTTCAAATTATCCATTTCTTGTTGGGGCTTCTGTCTGTTGCATATTATTTGTTACTAAGAATGCAATTGTTAACCCTCTTGGTATCTAACAATGGCAGAGGGCATGAGACTACAGATAAGAATAGATGAGCTTTGACTTTGTCTTTAGGCGGATGTCTAAGAATGTGTATTAGATACCTCCCATGAGAAGAAAACAGAAGTTACAATCACTGCTATGGAAGAACAATAAAATTATGGAAGCAAAATAAACACTCTGATGCAGCAGATTACAGTACATCAATATATATACAAGAAAACATAAGAACCCTATTAGGTCGAGATATCTTCTTCATGGTTACTATAATTCACTCAATCCTTGACGACTCACGATCTGGGTACATCGATTCCAAACGGGCTGAATTCGCAATCTAAATCACTAAAATAGATGACCCCAAATTATAATACTAATCCTAAATTAATTCGCTTTAGAATATTTAACACAAATATAAAATATATATTAATTGATTACATGTATATACATTTATAATTATATATTGTTTTAGATAATAGAAAATCAAGTATAATTATAAGATAAATGACTTAGTGTTTATGGATGTTCTATAATATATAATGTTCTATAGTAATAAAAATGATTTACGTAAAAGTTCTAAAATGAATTATGATCCAAAATACCATACCAGTTAAACCTATTTCTATCGCACCGTATACAAAAAAAAGTGTCATACCATGTACTCATATTACATACCAAAGCGACTCACGATCCAGGTAACATTGATCTTCTTAAGGGCTTAGGTGTACATAAAAGATGCTGCTATAAACTCTTGATAGCATTTGAACAAGACATCACCACATATCCTCCTGCAGGCTTTTACTGAAGTCCAATTCAGATTATGGTCTGACGGCTTAAGATTTTCACTCCCAGCTCAACCCCTTTTTAAAAGGTCGGCCTGAGCATTGAGACAATCCATTACTCCATTGAGCTTCATTTGCAAGCCCATTATAGACAGTCTCATTGGAGGGAACTTTTTTTCTCCATTACTGTAGGATACTGACTAGAAATCATGCTAAATGTCCTCGTATGGGCAAGAAAGTGCAAAAAGAAAATATTTGAGGGAGCAAAATGCTCGAGACAGATTGGTCAGTATAATTCATTTTTCTCCTTAATGCAGATCGTATTAGAGTACACACAGGATTTAATTGGTGAAGAACACACGCACACATACAGAGACAAAAAGATTCAACCATGAGTGTCCACTCTATAGAGTATATCCTTCTTATAATCGTAGCATAGCCTTCTTGTTGTATGCTCTACAAGTCATTTTTAAACCTCTACAGAGCATAGAAGTACTGCTAGGCTAATAAAGTCCCTAAAGCATTGAATCCAATATCTGGGTTCAAGGCTTGCAGCCTTCTTCTTCATAGCTGACTACCCAAAATCTGATGTTGAATGAGTTTCTCATTGTATTAGGTGTAAGATATCGTTTTATCTGTCATCAATATGTTGGGTGGAATTGTTTACAAAGTTGCTCCTCTTAAACAGTTTATTGACCATCTTCCAATCAATACGGCCAATGGCTATCCTTCTGCAATTTTTCTGCACCTTACCCTGACTTTAGTCAGATTAAACAGAGATGGGCAGTGGACTTTCCGGGCATTGCATGAGGCGTACGTAGGTAGGCTAAGGCTAACAGTGTATTAACTCTTTCTATCCAATGGCAAGAAAGGAGGACCAAGCCTAGCTAGAGTCAGTTATGTTTAAGAACCCTGGCTTACTGTCACACTGATGCGATGCTTACTTGAACCATCTGACATTGAGGATTAAATGGCTTCTTATTCTTGGGAATGAACAACAAGAATAGGTTCTAGTAAATTTTAGTGAGAGAAATTTGTATGCGCATGACAGGACAAATGTAGATTTTAGGAGAGTCCCTGTTCTGATGAACTAGCGAATTGTTGGAACATAAAAATGGCAGGTCAAACATAGCCAAGAGGTTCTTAATCATGGCTAACGATGGAAAAAGTTTGAGAAGAACTAACCAACACTCTAGTAACCCTTTTTTAGCTCTTCAAGTTCAATTCTTATATGTTATTAGATGTATCTACCTACTGCTTGTGCGATTAAGATGCTTTAGATTTTTGGGCACAATTTGTGTTCTTGAATATTGGAATTGCATATAATACTTGATAGAATTCCTTAAACATAATACAAAATTTCTTATTTTGGGAGTAAACTTCAATCTCCTTGCTTGTATGTTTATTGCTTCCTTCATGAAATTAATGGAGCCTAAGTTGGTTTTCCTCAGGGAATCACATTGTCATCTTGCAGTTTGTTTGAACCTGTCTATCTTTGTAATTATAATTTACAAGTTGATGAGATCAATTAATGAGTTTTGGCGTCCATCCCACTTTGAGAATTTATGATACCCACCAGTCTGAAGTTTTTTATTTTATCGAGAGATAGAAGTCATCCAAAACATGCATTTTTTGTTTAGTGATTACCACGGAAATTTTAATTCACAAACGTCCATAAAACTAAGCATAATGGGTAACTCAAGGTTTTTATTTGTGAAAATTGAATTTAAAATCTCTTTGATCGTAAGACATGGAGCCTTTTATATGAAAATTATCAGGATGGGCACCATCTAAAATATACCTAAGTTGGAACACTGGGTGAGAGTCCAAAGTTTAGAAACAATATTTGATTGAATCCAAAAGGTTCTTGGAAAACCCGACTCTCTATCTCTCTTTTTCTTTGTGGAGAAGAATTCAATTTCAAGAAGTTCTTCCCTCTCGTACTCAGACACGAAACACACTTGATCCTACATCACTTGATATATCATTGAGGAAGCTGCATCAAAAATAGCTTCCGGGAAAATAGTTATTTTTGGAATGAAGGTCATTATAAAGAAAGTAATGTGGATAGATTCTTATCAAATTTTGTAAGGCAATTCCTTGTTAGTATTTGTGTTAAAATGTACTTGAAGTTAGCAAAAAGAAAAACCAGTAAAATATAAATGACATGCATGGTGCATCCTTGCCAGTGTAAGTTCTCTCTCCCCTTCTTATTTTCTCAGGTGAGTGGTACAATTTCTTTTTAACTGGCTGCTAACGTGCAAATTTGCAAACATTGGCTCAGAGTAAAGTGGTTCACATGCAGGCTTGTATATATAGTACGGTGTCGAAGGCCTATGGTATGCACCATTGGGCCTCCTTTCATTTGTTTGGAACAGCACAAATGGGTCTACTATGCATGTGGACAGGTACAATCACTTGTTGAGATAGGAGAGGGAGGGAGAAAATCAGGTGCAGACAATTCCTCTGTTAGTAAAAGCAGTGTCTCTTCCCCAATCAATGAATGAAAATCTCAAACAAAATCAAAGACTGTCCTTCCCTCTTTCACCCCTCACCATTACTTTCTCCTCTGACACCTCACCCCCTTTGTACAGTGGAATAACTTCTTACACCTTTACATTACTGTACAAAAGAGCACAAAATCCCAACATTGCCCCTAAGTTCTTGGCTTTTACTTAACAGTGTCTCAGTATCTCTGGTTTGTTACTCAGTATATGATTGTTGTTAATGTCAGAACCTAGAGAGCGAAGGGAGGGGGTAGGGGAGAGAGTGGTAGGTATATTAACACAGGTCATCCACTTTCTATCTGTAAGAATAGAAAATGGGCTCAAGA